GTTTGATTACTTGGTTGTTATGGCTTTTAGTTGTTAAATAGCCTAGGTTTCATTTCGTGGTTGCTGTACCTTTTACTGTCATTCAGCCTCAGTGTTATTGTATGATTACTTGGTTGCTATGGCATTTACTGTCAATCAGCCTCAGTATTGTTGGGTGATTACTTGGTTGCTATGAATTTTAACTGGCAATCAGCTTGAGCTATAATATTGTTACATATCTGCTTGTTTGATCATTTCCGGTAAAATTTCTTTCCGAGTGATTTCTGCGATACAAGTCCCTTCTTGATTAAAACTAGTTTATTCTTTCTCATTACAAACTTTGTAATGCACTTAATTTCCACAGTCACTTTAAACTTAACTACCTTTATAACACATGCTATAAATCACAGTGATTCACACACTTTATTTACGGTGCCTACTGTTCGCTTGACTCAATTATCTCTATCTTCAATCTATCTATCGCTGGCTTATATACTAAAAAAGAGGGCATCTAGCAAACACTGGGACATTCACGAGGTTCTCCAATAAGTCATGATCCTTCTAGAAACTCCAGCTCGCATTCTCCCAGCATCTCGTGACTTCCGAGTAATAAATTATGTAATAAATATTATTGTTTTCTTTTCTTTTAAGTCAGTCTTGTATAAGTCAATGTTCTGTTTTTAAGTATCCATGCATATTGTATCTGGTGTTTATTCTCTTCCATGAACGGTCGCTACTTCAGCAGTATAGAGTAAAATGAATAGTTGAGAACCCTGGCATCAAATATATATACCATATTGAATGGTGCTCTATAAAAGGTTTGCACATGTGCACTTTAACCCACAACCATACACATAGCGTTAATGTAACGCTGTATAATATATAGTACTATGTTTTTAATTTTAACTCAGTTTTCTGTTCTTAAGACCAATTTTAAATTGTTTAATAATCATATAGTACTATGTTTTTAATTTTAACTCAGTTTTCTGTTCTTAAGACTAATTTTAGATTGTTTAATAATTATATACTACTGTGTTTTTATTTTTAACTCAGTTTTCTGTTCTTAAGACTGTAATTTTAGATTGTTTAATAATTATATAGTACTATGTTTTTAATTTTAACTCAGTTTTCTGTTCTTAAGACTAATTTTAGATTGTTTAATAATTATATACTACTGTGTTTTATTTTTAACTCAGTTTTCTGTTCTTAAGACTGTAATTTTAGATTGTTTAATAATTATATAGTACTGTGTTTTTATTTTTAGTTCAGTTTTCTGTTCTTAAGACTAATTTTAGATTGTTTAATAATTATATACTACTGTGTTTTTATTTTTAACTCAGTTTTCTGTTCTTAAGGCTGTAATTTTAGATTATTTATTAATTATATAGTGCTGTGTTTTTATTTTTAACTCAGTTTTCTGTTCTTAAGACTATAATTTTAGATTGTTTAATAAGTACACTGACTGGTCACAAGTAAATAGACACCTAATTTTTCGTCATTTAACTGATTTATGCTAACTAACTTGTG